TATATATAATACATATATATACATATATACATCACTATATATAATACTAACACTATATATAATACTCTTGATAGTCTAGTTAAGCTCAAATGATTGAAAGATAAACTCCCTTTAAAAGTTTAAAAAAATACAGAAGACTGGAGAGGTGGCTCAGTGGTCACCACTTGCTGCTCTATCCAGAGGGCTGTAGCTTGGTTACCAGCACTCACACAGGACAGCTCACAGCCATCTGCAACTCCATACTTTCAAAATACTGATTCAAAACAGATTCAAACAGAAAAATCAGTAGGCCAGTAAACTACTACTGAACCAACCAATATTTAGTAAGAAGACATCAAAGAACTTGCCCTCCTGGAACCTAAATGAACTATTATCTGCTCAGTTCTTTTCTGTTTAGGGGGAAATATCTGTTTGATCAATTTTATTAAAGCTCAACTGCAAAATTCAAGCTGATGAACTTTACTAAATTCAATATAACTGCAACCATGTAAAATGGTGTTTAGTTTACCTAAATCAATTCTACATTTAAAAAGAGGCCAGTGATGGTGGCCCATGCCTTTAATCCCAGCACTCAGCATTAGGGAGGCAAAGGGAGGAGGATCTCAAGTTTGAGTCCAGCCTGGTCTACAGAGTGAGTTCCAGGATAGCCCAGGATATACAAAGAAAGCCTGTCTCACAAAAACAAAACGGACGGGGACAGACAGACAGACACACAGACACACACACACACCCCACAAAGCTGGGAGTAGTGGCACATGCCTTAAATCCTAGGTCAGAAGGTAGAGGCAAGTGGATCTCTAAGGTCAGCCTGGTCAAAAAGTGAGTTCCGGGATAGCCAGTGATATAGAGAAATCTTGTCTTTAAAAAAAAAAAAACAAACAGCTGGACAGATGGCTCAGCACTCAGCCCTTAAAGAGTTCACATGCCTTTAAATCCCAGCATGTGGCAGAGACTCTGTGAGGCTAGCCTGGTCAACATAGTGAGACCTTGTCTCAAAAACAAACAAAAATAATTATGACTGAAGATACAGCTCAATGGTAGTATGCCACCAAGCATGTACAAGATCTGGGTTTGAACTCGAGCACCACTACAAAAACAAAAAACAAAAAAAAGATAAAAAGATTTTTTTTGGCAAGGCTAATAATCTGGGCAATATGAAATCCTTGGACCTAAGAGATAAACACAACAAACATAAAACTACCATACCAACTAACCACCTAAGGGGAACATCATCTCACTGCTTTTTGGAAGTTGCAGGAAACAATGTCTTCTTAGGCTCACATAATTATCACAAACTACAAGACACCGATTTTCTATAATAGACCCTGGAGAGCAGATGACACAGAAAATGACACCAAAACTACCCAACTACCTTGGCAGAATTTAACATATATAATTAAACACACCGTAAGAGACTTAATAAGCATTTCTCTTTTGCTCTACTTTCAGCTTCTAAACTTTTATTTCCAAAGAGATCTGGAGAGCAAGTCAAAATAACCTTTACCTGTCAAGATTTCTACTTCTAAAACTACAAATTGCGGCTGGGCGGTGGTGGCGCACGCCTTTAATCCCAGCACTCGGGAGGCAGAGCCAGGCGGATCTCTGTGAGTTCGAGGCCAGCCTGGTCTCCAGAGCGAGTTCCAGGAAAGGCGCAAAGCTACACAGAGAAACCCTGTCTCGAAAAACCAAAAAAAAAAAAAAAACTACAAATTGCTAGGCATGGTGGTGCACACCTTTACATAAAAACTAAAAAACTAAAACACAAAACTAGTCAATCTCAAAGCCCTCCTCACCCCCAGGCCTCTTAGTGTTTTGAGACAGGATCTCCTCCCTGTAGTCCTCTGTCCTGGAATTCAGAGACTGACCTGAGATTAAGGGTGTGCCATCACACCCAGCTTCCTTTTTTTTTTTTTTTTTGGTTTTTCGAGACAGGGTTTCTCTGTGTAGCTTTGCGCCTTTCCTGGGACTCACTTGGTAGCCCAGGCTGGCCTCGAACTCACAGAGATCCGCCTGGCTCTGCCTCCCGAGTGCTGGGATTAAAGGCGTGCGCCACCACCGCCCGGCCCTTTTTTTTTTTTTAACAAAGGGGAAACAAATATAAAAAAATCTACATGTTTATAAAGTGCATGTCATGCCGGGCAGTGGTGGCGCATGCCTTTAATCCCAGCACTCGGGAGGCAGAGCCAGGCGGATCTCTGTGAGTTCGAGGCCAGCCTGGACTACCAAGTGAGTTCCAGGAAAGGCGCAAAGCTACACAGAGAAACCCTGTCTCGGAAAAACCAAAATAAAAAAATAAATAAATAAACCTACATATAAAGTGCATGTCTTTCATTTTGCAGATCAAGAAAGGCAAACTAGTAGGGAAAATCTCACCAATGCTCTAAACCTGGATGAAGAGCTTCAGGAAAGTAACAGACACTAGAGAGGGAAAAATCAGTCTTTTCTAGGATAAGCGCCCTAATCCCAAGCAGACAGCCCTAAATGAAAATTTAAACATTAGATGAACTCAGCAAGCTGCACTCTTACATACATGTGTGCATGTATGTACATGTAAAAAACACTAACTAAAAGAGGTAGCCAATTTGGGGAGGAGGACACAGGATAAGTCTGAGAAGGAACAGAGGAATGAGGGGAAAATGATGTATTCACATATGAAATTTAAGTTTTTTTCAATTTAAAAGGGGTACTGGAGAGATGGCTTAAGAGTTAAGAACTCTTGTCCTTTCACAGGACCTCAGTTCGATTCCCAGTACCCACATGGCAGCTCACAACTGTCTGTAACCCCAGTTCTAAGGATCCAACACCCTCAACAGAGACATGCAGGCAGGCAAAATACCAATACACATAAAATAGTTTTTAAAAAAAGAGGCTAGCTGGAGAGATGGCTCAGCAATTAGGAGCACCTCTTCCTTTTGCAGAGGATCCAAGTTCAATTCTAAGAGGATCTGACACCCTAGGCTCTAGGCACTAGTGTGTTGCACAGACACACTAGCAGGTTAAATATTCAAATACATAAATTCATCTTCCAAAGAAGTCATACACAGCTTTGTTATTCTTCTCTAAGGCAATGGTTCATACTAAAATGTGGTAATTCCTTCACCCCTACAAACTGATAGGCTCCCTCATTCCTACAGATTCCTACCTAAATACAGCATTTAGTAAAAAATTAGCATACACCCTTAATCCTAGTGCTCATAAGGCAGAGCCAGGCCATTATTTGAGTTTAAGGCCAGCCTACTCTACATAACTAGTTCCAGGACACCCAGGGCTACATAGAATAAAATTTCTCCCTTTTTTTTGGGGGGGAGGGGAGGTAGGACCTTAGCTGTCTTGCAACTCTGTAGACCAGGCTGACCTTGAACTTAAGAGATCTGACTACCTCTGCCCCCCAAGTGCTGGGATTAAAGGCGTGCATCACCACCGCCTGGCTATTCTTTTTCGCCTATTTTCTTTTTAATTACATAAAATGCATGAGGCAGGGCATGAAAATGTGCACGTGAGTACAGTACTTGCAGAGGCCAGAAGAGGTCATCAGATCCCCTGAAGCTGGAGTTGCAGTTTCTTGATTTATGCAAAGGACTTACAATTACAGAGAATGGTTGTAATATAGTAGTTGAAAGGAATTTGGAGAGGAATTCCATGATTTGATTTATAAATGAGTAAGCAGATAAATAAAATTTTGGTGGTACTAGTTGGACCAGGCTTTCACAGATGCTAAGTGTGTTGGTTAATATTTCTTATTCAACTTGACACAAACCTAGATGCACCTGGGAGAAATTCTCAATTGAGGAAATGCCTCCATTAAATTGGCCTGTGGGCACATCAGTGGGGCATTTTCTTGACTGCTAATTAATGTAGGAGGGCCCTGTATACTGTGAGTGGTACCATCCTTAGGCACATGGTCCTGGGATATAAAAGAAAGGTAACTAAGCAAGCCATGGGGAGCAAGCCAGTTAGCAGCATTGCTCTCTGGTCTCTGCTCTAGTTCCTGCTTCTAGGTTCCTGTCTTGAACTCCTGCCCTGGCTTCTGTTATGTTTGGTAACCTGTAGTCCAAATAAGCACCTTTTTTTTTTTTTTTTGCCCAAGTTGATTTAAAAGGTCAGTGTTTTATCACAACACAGAAACCAGACTAACATCAGGAAGCAATCCACCAGCAAGTTACATCTGCAGCCTGTGAATTTATAAGTTAAGATTATTCCACCTCTTTTGTGAAGAATGGTTAGGGAGTTATGAATGGAAGTCCAGAGACTTAGGCCAAAAGAAGTAAAGATAGAAGGAAGCAAATTTGCTGGGTGGTGGCGGTAACATGCCTTTAATCCCAGCACTGGGAAGGCGGAGAAGCAAGTGGATCTCTGTTAAGTTCCAGGCCAGCCTGGTCTACAGACTGAGTTTCAGGAAACCCTGTCTACTCCCACCCCCCAAAAAATTTATATTTATTTTGAAGATGGAGGGATCTGCCATGGCACAAATGTGGAGGTCAAAGGACAACTTGCAGGAGTCAGTTCTCTTTCCACCATTTGGGAAGCATGGATCAAATTCAGGTCATAAGGCTTGAAAACAGGTGTCTTTGCCCATCTCCTAGGCCCAAGAGTTTGTTTTGTTTTCCTGTTTTTTCAAGACAGAAGTTTTTCTATGTAGTTCTGACTGTCCTGGACTTGGCTCTGTAGACCAGGCTGTCCTCAAACTCAGATTTGCCTGACTCTGCTTCCAGGTGCTAGGATTTAATCAGCAGAGGGGCAGGCATACTTGGCGGCACAGACCTGCAATCCCAGCAGCACCTGGGACACAGGGGATCAAAACTTAAGGCCCTTGTCTACAAAATTCATTTTATGTTGGAAAACTACATTCCTCTAAAACTACATTGTTTCCAAAGACCTTGAATCAAGAAATTCATACTAATTATTTCTTCATTCATAATCTAGAATCTCAAATATACTAGTATATGTATACATACAAAGACAAAATTAGCCCATCAGAATCTTTGAAAAAGAAATGTTACCTTTAGTGTGATATACAATAGCAGCCCTCAGGTCAAAAGAACCCCAGCTATCATTCCTTTCTAGGCCTCTCTGGTATCTCTGTTCTTTGGCGGAGCCTAACAAAGTGTTCGTGGGAGAGGCCAGAGGATTTTGATTTTCTATTTCGTAGTCCTTTGAGAGAAACACTAAAGCACCTTGACTACTGGTGTCTGCTTTTTGCAGGTCACCTATATGACTGGGTTCCAAGGATAAGGCTCCACTCTCAGTAGTCCCGGGTTTTAGAATGTTACCCAGAACTTGAGGACTAGTCCGTTTTTCCAGCTCATAAGCCTTGGGAAACACAGGATGCTCAGTTCCTGAGGGAATTATTTCAGCACCCTGTGAAACCAAAGTGGCAGGATATTCTCCTTGAAATGTCACTTCCATCACTTTATGATCTGATGACTTTCCAATAACAGTCTCTGGGCCAGCACTGGGCTCATTTATAAATGATAAACCCCATTGATTCTGGAAGATATCCCCCAGGTTTTGCTGATCTGTCTGAGAAGGCAGATCTACTTGTGCAGTGCTTAACAGCACCGTTTGCATATTTGAAGGGTAGATAAAAAGGCTAGACTTAATTTGTTCAACAGCTGCTGAAGTCAGACTCATGTCCTGAAGAACTGAATCAGTCCCAGTAGAGATGGGTGTTAAAGTATTAGCAGCAGTAGTTAGCAGTGGCTGACCCCCTGATGGATACATATTTCCATCAGTTCCTGCTAAAACAGGCCCATTAGAAAAGTTGGCAGAAGTAACAGATTTCAGAGCTGACATGGGGACCTGGGACAGTCGGCTTGAAGGTTGGGTCTGAGTTTCCCCAGTAGATAATGAAGAGGATGAAGATGAGGATGGTGACACCGAAGAGTTCTGTACAGTTTTGTTGAGGTTTTCCTTAACTTTGCTTGCATAACTTATTTTAGGAACTATTTTAGCACTGCTATTGTCCACTGGAAAAACTGGGGGTGGTTTAAACAAGGTCCACGAGTCCTCTTTGGAGGCAGCAGCTGAGGCATGCTTTCCTTTAGGCCGATCATCAAACTTTTTGTTGTTCAAACCAGGTTTAACATCTGAGCTTTTACGAAGTATGTCACCCACAGCAGGTTTTCCACGACTTGTTCCTCCAGGTCCAGTTTCATACTTCCAAACAGGCTTCGAACTGTTATCTGCTCGAGTTCCCTTTTGATCACTGTAGTCAGGCTTTAAACTTTCAAGTCCCTGTTTTAATGCTGGGACACTAGTCTCCTGCATTATTTTGTCCTGCACTAAATTAAGGTTTTCACAACCCTTGGCACTATTGCGCCTAGCTTTCCTTTTTTTAGGAGTGGTATATCCACTCTCAGATCCACTACCATCATTATCTGCTCCTTTGCCCATATAACCATTAGTGATATAGCCTGAATTATTTGTTATAACGCCATTTGGAATTGCTACAGTGTCGGTCTTATCTATAGCCTGGTTCTCTCCAGATTTGTTTTCATAAGACTTCCCATTTTTTTTGTCCATACTGTTTTTCTGAATAAAATTCTTGGTTTTAATTCCTGCTTTTCCAAAGGTGCTGGTCTTTACAGTCTGCTTCAGGCTAGTGTCTACAACTTGCTGGTTGCCATTGAGGACCCTAGAAATAGGGTTAGTAGCTTCATCAGAACTGAGGCTCTTTAAAGATATCTCTCTCTCTCCGGCATTACCATTTACTTCACCATAGCCTACAGAAGGAAAACAAAAACAAAAACAAAAACAAAAATTTAAGTCACAGTAGTACTGAAGACTGGAAAACTGTTTATTGAAGGCCAGATACTATTCTGTAAGGTTTGTTACTTCCCATTTCTATGAAAAGAATCTTGTCAGCCCCATTTCACAGATTATAACATTTCACTGCTAGGCAGAGGCAGAATTAGGACACAATTCACATCAGGTCCATCTACTGAACCAGTAGCCAGAATTAACTAGAAAGAACAGGACCTCTCAAGCAGCATGTCATAATATTCCTCTAGATTATCTAAACAGAATAAACCTACACATTATGGCCATGAGGCTGTTATAAAAATTTCCTTACAATTAATTAAATGCAATACAATTCCAGCACACTGAAAACAGAGGCAAGATGATTGCCATGTTTGAAGCCACCCTGGTAGAACCTTGTCTCAAACACAATTAGGTAGGACCAGTGCTACCCTCTGGGCTTTTGTTCAGATACAGTAAACTGTAAAAGGAAAAAAATTAAGGCTGTAACCTTTGCCTAGCATGTATGACCACTGAATTCAATCTTTAAAAGGGGGCAGGGGGAGGGGGAGGATTGAAGACCGTGCATAAGTGGCTAGTTGCCAACCCACCTAACAAAGCTATAAGCCCTGTGGACTTTGAGATCAGGACATATCACAACACATTAAACAAAAATATGGACCAATGTTTCTAACCCTTAAGAATTGTTTTCTTATACCGGGGTTAAAAAGATCTAGAGAGATAAAGCAATACCCAGGTCACAAAGTGGCAGAACTAGAAATCTAAATTCTGGTCTGTCTAGAGTTCTTAGCTTTCTATCCTCATGGAAAATTTGCTTGCTCACAAAACTACAAAGGAATCTAATTTTTTAAAGCTGTCAAGTATGTGAATGTAAAGACTTCACTGTTTACAGTTAAGTTTAAAGATTACAAATGTTCTACTGGGTCACAACTCCTACTTGCTAGTAAAATGGTGATTAGCCATCAATTGCTTTATGACCTCCAAAGTCCTTTGGGAAATCCTCTCAATTCTAAGAGTAATCTTAGTAACTACAGAAAATACTTTTTTGGTTTTGTTTCAAATAAAGCATTTCTCTGTAGCCCTGGCCATGCTATAGCTCACTCTGTAGACCAGGCTGGCTCAAACTCAAGAGATTTCCCCTGCCTCTGCCTCCCAAGTGCTGGGATTAAAGACGTGTGCCACTACCCCCTTGTATCGGAAAATACATTTTATAAAAGTTCTTAACTTCCTGGCTGGCATGTTTGAAGTCCAAAGCTTAACCCTTAGTCGTTAGAAAAAAAATACTTACTTTCCAGTGTTAAAAGTACTATTTTTCATTTTTTTAAAAACCTGTGACAGACAGATTTCCTGTGCTGCCGAGGACTGAACATTCCTAGCAGGTGCTCTACCACTAAGCTGTCTCCAGTTCCAAATAAAAGCTTTCACAGAGATGTGATGGCCATACCTCCAATCCCAGCACTGAGAAGGCAGAAGCAGGGCAATCTGTGAGTTTGAAGCCAGACTATTCTATATAAATGAATTCCAGGCCAATCGGAACTACATACTAAGACTCTGTCTCAAATTTTTTTTTCCCCTCATAGAAAGAGTCTAACTATGAAACAAGAGACAAGTCCATATGTGGTATTTTTCCTATAAGATTTTCTTAAAAAAATATGCAGAAAGCTGCTGGGCAGTGATAATGCACATTCTTAATCCCAGCACTCAAGAGGCAGAGGCAGTGGCAGGCTCTCTGAGTTCTAGACCAGCCTGGTCTACAGAGTGAGTTCCAGGCCAGAGTTGCAGAGAAACCCTGTCTTAAAAAACAAAAAGCAGAAAGTTGAGCCAGGCATAATGGTGCATCCCTGCAACCCTGTCCAGCTCAGGTAGAAATGGTGGCCCACACTAACTCCAGCTACAGGAGTGTGAGACACCAGGACTACAACTTAAAAGGGCTGAGTCTGTAGCTGAGTGTTAGACAACTCCTGCCTAGCACACTGAGGTTCAATCCTCAGTTTACAAAACAATACAGCCCACTAGACTTATTTTAATGACAAAAGTTTTGTTTTTTTCTTTTTGCATTTAAGTTTATAATACTTTTCCCCCTGTGGCCTTGGTATGCACAAAGTATGAAAGGCATCTTTTAAAGCTTAAATATTTAAGAACAATGTGAAGACTAGTTATTACAGAAAATTACAGAATTCCTAGCACTTTTATTATTTAGGACTGCCATGCTAACTCCACTTCAAATGGACTCAGCCAAAACTTGGGTATTGATAAATCTAGCTTTTGGATCTGCCACTGCCATCACTCAGCACATGTGATCTTCTCTTGTGCCCTCTTCTGGATTCAGAAAACCAGTTACTGAAAGGTTTGGGAGTAACAGGTCATAAATACCCACAAGCATGTCCCAAATATATTCTACTTTTCTTAGTTAGCACTGTACACAATGAAGCAACAGCACTGTGTGACCAAACCACACATGAAAAACCGATTACCCCAAACTGTTAATATTCTCTCAAAATTTCCTAAACGCAATTTCCCTCCTTATTCTTCATCCCATATTTTGAGGGGTGCCCCTTCCAAAGGTTCAGGGTCTGCATCTCTATGGAGTGATGAATCCTGTGGGGAATACATAAACTTCATAAAACATAAATTTTAAAACTAAGAAGTACCGTTATTTGACAACCTTAATATTTTCTCACCTTCTGAAAAACCAAAATTAATGCAGTGTTACATAATTCCTAAGTTTCTAGGCTGTGAGCTTGTCTTCAACCTTACATTGTCTACGGTAAGTTTTTCAGCAGTAACTCCTTGTATTAAAAGCCAAGCTGAGTTTAACATTTCTCTAAGTATCCCCTTCCATTTCTCTTCAGTTTATAAACACTTTTAATCTGCGATTATAGAGACGTTGACGCTTAGTTCTTGAGTATTTCCTCAACACATTTTTACGTTTAACATGTTAAATAAAATTCAGTTTGGGGATCGACATCGGTTTTAAAACGCGCCAAATGCCTTTCACTGGAATACCCCCGAAAGTCTTGTCCACTGGCATGGCCACAACCTCACGGACAAGCCACTTCAGTTCGTTAAAGAGGGGCCCCAAACTGCCCTCGTCCCTCCAAGCCAGTATTTGATGAATCCCTCCCTGCACTCACTAACCCTGCCCAGAAGTTTCCGTGGCAAACGGATGGAACAAGGTTTAAGAGGTTGTTTCCCCCCCCCCTTTTTTCGGGTAGGAAAGGGCCTGCTACAAAGAAAAGGGCCTAAGTGAAAGCCTCTGAGGCGGAGTCGTGAGCGAACCTGGCAGGGGATGAGATTCCTGTGGCAGAGAAACTCGTGACCCGGGAGCCGGGTTCCCGCTGGGTCCCCCACCCGGCCTCCGGCACCGCCTCTACCCAAAACGAATCCCCTCGCCCCTCCAAGGCCCGCGGGAAGGCCGCGGCCGCCGCCCGGGCCTCCTTCCCCCCCACCCCTTCAAGCTCCTCTTCGAGGCCGGCTCCCCGCCCCGGCCGCCCGCCCGCCCGCCCGCCCGCGCCTCCCGCCGCACCCGGGAGCGGGAAACGCGGCCGCCGGCGCGCGGGTCCACGGTGCAGGCCGCTCCCCTCGTGGCCGCCTCCCTCCCCCACCCCAACCGCCCCCGCCCCTCACCCCAGGGACCCGCCCGGGGCCGCGCGGCCGCCACCGGGTTACACAACCCGGCGCGGGGCGGGGGGAGGGGCGCCGGCCGCCCGCACTGCGGGGGGGGTGGGGGGGGGGACAGGCCCCGGCCCCGGCCGCCGGGGGTCCCGGGGCCACCGGTCCCGGCGTGCCGTGTGGGCCTTCGGCACCCTCTCCGCACCCCCCCCCCCCGCGCTCCCGTCCGCTCCTCCGCCGGCCGGAGTCGGTGACAGGAATCGGCTTCCAACATGGCGGACAGGAAGCGGCCCCGCGAGGAGGAGAGAACATTCCAGCCTCGCCGGGCGCTGGCGGAGAGCGGGCCCGGGGCGCCGGCCTCCGCAGGGAGGAGAAGCCTCGCGGGCCGGCGGCGGGGCCCGGCGCCCCCGAGGCGGGGGCCTTCAGGGGTGGACATGACCAGAGGGACGAAGGGGTCCCGGCCGGCCCCGAGACGGCAAACCCCAAGGCCACAGGTGGGCTTGGGGCGGCGGGCGAGGGAGGAGGCTTCCTCAGCTCAGCCCGCAGCCCGGCGCCCGCCGCCCGCTGCCCGCCCGCCCGCCGGAGGGTCTCGCGACACCACCCGGGCCGGGATTCACTAGGCCCGCCTGAATTACACACACACCTCGGGGGGATTTTTTTTTAATTTTTTTTTTTTTAAGGGCGGCCGAGTTGCATCCCTTCTCAGCCTCTCCCCCCCCCTCCTCCCCGCATTCAGGCCAACTCCAGGGCCGCAGAAGAGGGGGAAAAAAATAATACTGTTGGGGAGTCCCAAGGCCGGGCGTCCAGGTCTGCCTCCAGCCGGGGCGGGGGCCGGGGAAGGTCACGCAGGCCCGCTTGGGCCTCTCCCATGCTGAAGGGAAAGGAGAGGGCGCTGCGATCCCCCCACCTCGCGGCCCGCGCCCGGGAAGAATGGAAGGGGGCATCCCCGGGCCCCCCCGCGGGACGCACACCCCGACCCGGTCCGCGCTTTTCACATCTAGCCCCACCCCCATCCCCTCGGCCGCCCGCCCCCCCCCCTCCCTCCCTCCACTCCACCATCCCGGTCCCCTTCCCCCACCGCCCTCCCTCCCAGACCTGTTTTCTTCTTCGGCGTTTCCTGGTGCTGCTGGAGGGTGTGTTTCTGCTCATGTTTCAGCGGCTTGGGCTGGGCCTTGGGGCTGCCCTCGGCTCCATGCTGCAGGTATTGGTGAGGCTGCTGGTGATGGTGGTGGTGGTGGTGGTTGTGGCTGTGGTTGTAGAAGTAATAATGGTGGTGGTGGTGCGACTGCTGCTGCTGGGGGTGATGGTGCGGATGGTGGTGGCTGTGATGGTGCTGAGGCTGTGGCTGGCCGGGCTTCTCCTCCATTGAAAGCGGCTGGGACTCCCTGGCTGAGGCTGCGGGCTGCTGCACCGTCAGGATCTGAGGCTGCCTCTCAGCGCTCGCTCAGTATATCTGAGCGCGTCTCGCCAGCGCACTGGTTAAGCGAGCGGATCTGCAAGATTGGCAGCAGCGCCCCAGCAATCAGGAGCCACGCTGCGCGTCAAGCCCCGCCCCTAGCCCCAATCCTCTTCCCTTCCCCTTCGCCACCGCCGCCTGGCCAACGCCACTTACCCTATGCAACCTCACAGGGCCGGGCCTTCAACGTCAGCATTATGGCTCTCTCTTCTATCGCTTTCTCTCCTTCACCACGCAGTTAGCGAACAGCACTTTCTACACGCCTCACAGGCAAGCAAGCAGATTTCGAGTGTAGCAGATTCCACGGACGATTACTGGCGCTAGGAGCCATCTGTTGGTTTTGCACCTCCTAGAATCTGTTGGGGTGTGTGTGTGTGTGTGTGGTTTTTTTAAAAATCCTTTTCCGGGTAGCCAGAGCAGAGGGGGAAGCTCAATTTCCTTAACCCTTAGGCCACGAAAGGGGCAATACAAAAGAGGAAATAAATTCATTTTTAAGAACACAAAACCTTCACAACTCAGATAGATCGTTTTGTATTCTGGATTCATTTTGCTTTGTATTCATATGCTAATCTCTTCCTTTCCACGGAGGGATTATAGGGTTCCACAATGGGGTATCTGTGTAATTTTCTAAAAGGGCACAAAGGGCTTAAATCATTGTTTCTTTGTAGTTGAAGGCAAGAGAGGGAGGGGTGAAAAATCTATGCTGAAGTTTTGTTTTTTTTTTTTAATTAAACACTACAGGTGAGGTCAACTATGGAACCAAAATAGGTTTTAGAATAAGAATTTCAAGAGAGAGTGAAAGAAGAAAGGACACCTTTAAAAGTTCTTACGGTTTTGCTTTTTACATTTTTTTTGTTTTGCATTTACAGAAAACATTGAAATTTAAAGATGTGTTTGCATTGTTTGCCGTTAATTCAACTAGTCATGGTAGGAAGAGGGTTGTAATGAGGACAGACACAGGGTACCCTCAAAATGTATTTTTGTGGATTTTGGCGACGGGGAGGGGAGTAGGGGATGTTGTTGTTTATTTGTTTTGGATTGGTTTGTTTTTGAAACAGAGTCTAACTTTGTAACCCTGATTGACTTGGAACTCCCTGTGTAGACAATGTAGACTAGGCTGTCCTCCAACTAAGAGATGCCCCCTGCCTCTGCCTCCTGAGTGCTGGGATTAAAGTCCTACAACACCACACCCAGCCAATGTGCTATTTCTTAAAACTACATTACATGTACACTTGCTTTATAAGTTGTTAAATGTGATAATATTTCTCTATGTAATACGAGGGAAAGTTTAAATGTAAAATTTACCATCTTGCCGGGCAGTGGTGGAGCACACCTTTAATCACAGCACTTGGGAGGCAGAGCCAGGTGGATCTCTGTGAGTTCCAGGCCAGCCTGGTCTACAGAGTGAGTTCCAGGACAGGTACAAAAACTACACAGAGAAACCCTGTCTCAAAAAACAAAAACAAAACAAAACAAAAATTTACCATCTTAACATTTTTTTTGGTTTGTTTTTGTTTTATTTTGTTTTGTTATTTGTTTTTGTTTTGTTTTGTTATTTTGAGATAGGGTCTTACTATGTATCCCTGACTGACTATGTAGCCCAGGCTGGCTTCAAACTTGCTGCAATCCCCCTGCTTCTGCCTCACAAATACTGTCATTTTAGGCATGCACCATCATACCCAGATCCTATTTGACCATTTCGAGTACATAGTTCAGGGTGTTAGGACATTCCCATTGTTGTGCAACCGTAGTCAGGTGCATCCCTAGACCTATTCATCTTGTAAAACTGAAACTCCATACCTATTAAATGATAAATCTCCTGAGGCTGGAGAGGTGGCTCAGCTATGAAGCGCATATTCTGCTCTTGCAAAGGACCAGAGTTCGATTCTGAGCATTCGAATGGCAGCTCATAATTATCCATAACTCCAGTTCCTGAGGGTCCAACCTCTCTTCTGACCTCCAAAGGCACCAGGCACACACATGGAGCACATACATACATTCAGGCAAAACACACACATAAAATACATCTTTTTTCTTTTGTTTTGGAGACAGGGTTTCTCTGTGTAACCACCCTGGCTATCCTGGAACTTGCTCTGTAGACCAGGCTGGCCTCACTGAAACTCACTTGTCTCTGCCTCTGGATAGTGCTGGGATTAAAGGCACTTGCCACTACCAACCGGCAAAATATATCTTTTTTAAAAAGACAAAAGATTTACATGATAAATCCCCTTACTTTCCTTCCTTCCTTCATGCCCTGTTTTAAGTTGACTGCTCAATGTACCTCATGTCAATAGATTCATATAGTCTTTGTGAGTGGCATATTTCAACTACCATAATATATTGTTTTTGTTTTTTGTTTTAAATGATTTATTTACTTTTATTTTATATGCATTGGTGTTCTGCCTGCATGTATGTCTATGTGAGGATGTCAGAGCCCCTGAAACTGGAGTTATAGTTGCCAGCTGCCACTTGAGTGCTGGGAAATGAACCCAGGTTTTTCACAAGAGCAGCCAGTACTCTGAACCTCCAAGCCATCTCTCCGGCCCTTTAACGTTTTGTTTGTTCAGTTAGATGTATTTTGTGCGCTCATGACATGAGTGTTTTGCCTGTATGTATGTATGTGCACCATGTGTATGCCAGGTGCCTGGTAAGGTCAAAAGAGGTTGTCAAAACCCCTATATCTGGAGAATGGTTGTGAGGGGGCTGGAGTGATGGCTCAGCAGTTAAGAGCACTAGCTGCTCTTCCAGAGGACCTGAGTTCGATTCCCAGCACCTATATAGCAGCTCACAACTGTCTGTAAAGCCAGTTCCAGGGCACCCGATACTCTCATGCAGGCATACATCCAGGCAAAACACCAATGCATATTAAATAAATAAATAAATCTTTAAAAAGAATGGTTGTGAATCTCCATGTGGATGCTGGGAACTAAACCTGGGTCTTCTACAGGACCAACAGGTACTTTTAACCTCTGAATCATCTCTTCAGCCCTATGTCTTGTTTTGAGAATGTATTTTTATTTGGTGTTTGTTGTTTTCATTTTTTTTTTTTTGAGTCAGGGTCTCATATAGCCTAGACGGACCTCCAACTCACTTTGTAATTAAGGATGACCTTGAACTCTTGATCCTTCTGCTTCCTAAATGTTGGTATTTCAAGTGTGTGCTACCATACCTGCCCTTACCATAATGTCTTTAAGACATATTCATATTACACAGGATGTATAAAAATGTCTTTTTTTTTGCCAGGCAGCAGTGGCGCACGACTTTAATGCCAGCACTGAAGAGGCAGAGGCAGGCGGATCTCTGTGAGTTCAAGGCCAGCCTGGTCTACAGAGCAAGATCCAAGACAGGCACCAAAACTACACAGAGAAACCCTGTCTCGAAAAAAACAAAGAACAGAAAATGCTCTTAACCACTGAGCCATCGACCTAGCCCACAATTACTCAATTTTGAGAGCTAGGAACCCAGTAGTAATATCATCTTGATTAGTCTCTACTATTCCCACATGCTTAAAATGTAAATAGAATTCAGCATTATGGGGAGTGTGTGTGTGTGTGTGTGTGTGTGTCTGTCTGTCTGTTTGACTTAGACATTAAGTTGGAAAATAGACTTCCCATTCTTGATTCTAACTTCTTTTTTTTTTTTTTTTTTTTTTTTTTTTTGGTTTTTCCAGACAGGGTTTCTCTGTGTAGCTTTGCGCCTCTCCTGGAACTCACTTGGTAGCCCAGGCTGGCCTCGAACTCACAGAGATCCGCCTGGCTCTGCCTCCCGAGTGCTGGGATTAAAGGCGTGCGCCACCACCGCCCGGCTGATTCTAACTTCTTTTTCTATATTTCCTACATTATACTTCCAGACAAACAAAACATATTCAGTGAATTTCCAGCTTACACTTTGACTTGCCTTAGTTTATGTATTCATGTGCAGTTGTACTGACTTAAACAGTCTAACTCTTAGCTGGGTATAGTGGTGAACAACTTTCATCCTAGCATTCAGGGTCGGGTAGAAGGAGGGGACAGTGACCTGGAGGAGATGTAGGAGTGTCAGGAGCACAAGGTCATCCTCAGTTACACATGGAGCTAGGTCTGAGGTTAGCCTGGCCTATGTGAGACCCTGTGTAAAATAAATAAATAAATAACACTTTGAACATAGTAATAAAATAGGTATATAAATAAACAGAAACTGATAACAAATTATAAGGAAATTTGCTGGGCAGTGGTAGCACATGCCATTAATACCAGCACTCTGTAGACCAGACTAGCCTCAAACTCACAAATTCTACCTGCCTCTGTCTCCAAGTGCTGGGATTAAAGACCTGTACCACCACTGCCCCACTCTTGAGTCATTAAAAAAAAAAATCATTAAATGAATTCCAGTTTGGGATTAGGACAGAATGTCTTCTTCTCTCCCTCCCTCCCTTCCTTCTTTCCTTCCTTTTTTTTTTTTTTTTTTTTTTTGAGAAACGTGTTTAATGGTAAAGCTTAGCAAGCTCCACTCCACCCACAGTAGGGACTGCTTTTATCTACAGGGTATAACTGCATATAAAGGAAAGCTGAGAAGTGAAAACATTAAGATCTGTTTAACTTACTTAAACATTTGCAAATATTTATTGAACAGTTTCTATCTGTTGATTTTGGAAGGATTTTTTTTGTTGTGAGACAAGGTCTCATTATTGTAACCATAGATGGCCTGGAACTCACAGAGATCCACCTGCCTCTGCCTCCTGAGTGCTATGATTAAAGATGTGTGCCTTAAGTAAAACATAGCTCTCTGAACAGATGAAGATAGGTTTCTTCTGTATCCCAGAGTCTAATAAATATTTATATGTATAATTCAGCTACCATTTGGCTTAAAAGGGCTTATTGGGAAACATTATCATTTATACTATTTTCTACAGAGAAAATATTTTACTGTTTAAAATAACCCTAGACTTTTAAATTATAACCTATTTTTGTTCAGGCTATCTGTGTATTATTTCTCCTGCAGTTGTACATAAAATGTTTTTACATTTTAAAAAAAGGACAAA